TTGGCAGAAAGTGTGAAGCGTCATATCGTAAATTTAATATGTTCATATTTGTCATTTTGCATAAAAGTACCTAAACGTTTGAACGTTTGAACGTGAGAAATAGAAAATAAAAATTCGAAATTGATTTTATAATTATTCAAAATATTTAATAATTTTAATAATCAATGTTTTCATTAAAATCATACAACAAATCTAAATTGTAAAAGCATTCATAATAAAATTTAATAACCAATGGTATTAAAATCATGTAAATGATAATGATATGCGTGATATTTACGAATATATTAAAATTGTTGAAATGACGCCAACGCTATCAATTTCGACAAAAATGTTGACTGTGTCAAGCTCTCTTCTGTGCAGCGCGTACAAATCGGAGCAGCCTAAATGAGCTTGCTTGTGCTAGTCGTAAATTACCCTATTTTAATGTAAATTACTGTAACACTTCAGCACGAGCACGTACAAATCGAAAGGTATTGGAAGCGAGGAATGTGCGTGCACGATATTTGAAATATCACGCAGACGACATTACGTTGTAGTTGGCAGTTGGATAGATAATTGAGCGCTGAGAATTTCCGATACAACATCACGATATGAAAGTGTTTAATGACGTTAGTTCTCATTCGTGTGAAATTGCGTTTTTAATTTTGTCCCCGATAATGTCAGTTCTAGCAATATATGTTCTTTTTACTCTGTCAATGAATAGAAAATTATGTATCTTGGAACGTAATTGTAACTGAACAAAAACCTTCAACAGACGAAAATGAGAATATCTTCGATAGATCGAGAATAATTTAAAATAGAGTCCACTGAAATTCTACACTGTGTACAAAAATAAAAAGAATGATAGAAATTGAACGTTCAATTGATTCGGTGATATTTAAGATATTTAAGAGTTCTTTGATATTTGAAAATCTCGGTTATTCCTCGAATAGAAATAAAAGCTTGTTTAAATCTCGATTACTTCGTTGTTAAGAATTAATAAGTGCCTCATTATACGAACGAGAGAGAAAGAGAGGGCTTCGTACAAAAGTGCGGTCGATCGTAAAAAGACAAGATCGATGTTATCCGGTCCCGTGATCGGTCGGTATCGAACATTCGCGGAGCAGGACGCACAAGTGAGGCGGTTTCGCAATCGCAATTCAGAATACACGCGATGACAATCAATAAATTATCCCCGATGCCGGGGTATATGACGTACGTACATTCGCTTCGTTAACTGTCGGATGCGCGCAGCACTTTCCCACAGTGTTACACGGAATGTGCGTAGATCTCACGTTACCCCCATCAAACGTATCCGAGGGTTGAACAGTGGTATCGACAAACGGAAATTGATCCTCCGGAATAATCGACCGAGTGAGACGTCGGATCGCGGAGAAAGGCGCAATGCAAAATACAAAATTACAAAAATATACTCGTGGCGCCGGTGACGACCGGACCCGTGCCGTGCGGGTTTTGCATTGTGTATCATTTACAATATGAACAGCATTGTACGGATAGGGTGCAATTGAGAGGAAGGAAAAGAGAAAGAGAGAGGGAGAGAGAGAGAAAGAGAGAGAAGAGTGTATGTACATAGCACGGCACGGAGGTCGATCTAGGCGAGCCGCGACTTTGCTAGGCCGCTTAAAATACTGTTCTCCGATGTTCTCTGATCGTGCGAGCTCGATTTTTCACGTACGTTCGTGTCACGAAAGCGCGATTTCCTTCTCATTTGCACTTTGCACGACACGTTCGGGCTGCTGAGCGGAATAGCGATACAAGTCTACGTGTAAGAAGAGACAAACACAATGGAACGACACGTTCCGCATGCATTGATTCGACGATTCGGGAAGAAACGGAGATAGAAAAATCGTCGTGGTTGGAAAAATCGGTTGGCACTGGCCTACAAGAAACCGAAAACGTTTCTCAGGCTGTCGCGGCGTATCGCGACTGAACATTTTTCGCGCACGAGAGTTAGACGGTAACACTCCGCAATAAGTTGTCGAGCTCGTCGATCGCGGTGGCACGGCGAAAAATCGAGGCGACACGACCGCGCCGCTATTTTCTCCGCCGCGTCTCACCCGGACGGCTGTCAAGTTTGCACTCGAGTCGTAGTCATCGAGCGCTTAATACTGTTTGGCGTAATCCGGGCACGAAAAGCTCGGTTTTCCGGATGGTTCTTGGTTTTATTAAGTTGCGACCGTCGCACTTTACGCGTCCCGCGAATCGATCTTAAAATCAGATAATCATCAGGGTGCGAAATAAAAGGAATAGCTTTAAAAGAAAGAAAAAAAATATATAAAAAAAAGAATTGAAATAATCTAACTCTGCGGAATAAAATAAAATATTAAATTATATATTCGTATCGCGATCCGAATAACATCCTAAAAGGAGAATTCGATCGACAAAATGTGCACAGGGTGCACAAGATAACAGAAGGTTTTTCTTTTTTTTCCATTCGAACCTAAGCTTCATCTTAACCCTCCAGAACCGGCACCAAAATCATAATCACTGCTGGGTTTGTGAAACCCACTTATGTTAAATAAAAAGCACTAATTAATTTCAAGGAAATAAAATGACATAAAAGTATTATAAATAGCCAGTAAACACTAAGTGAAATGGATATTATAATTTCATACTCAACAACTTGTTATAGTAAATTCTCTCAACGTAACTGTTACGTGTCATATTACATTTATATTGTTGAATATGAATATAACATTAGTATTATATTACCGTTGATTGATGTTTACTGGGTAAGTATATATTTTAATAAAAATAATTCAAATACGCAGATGTAACATAAAGAAAATTAAATTGTTTAATATTTTTGACAAAGAGATTTATAATTGAGTAGCTCTCTCCAGTAGACCGACTTATCGTCAGCAAGGATATAATTGAATAGATCCAGTAGAGACTCACGTCCGGAGGATTAAGGAAATCTTTATTTTAATCTGCGTTCGCGTGTGAGATACCGAGGTATTTAATAAATCGAAACTTCTCGTGCGATTGCATAAAAGAAGAAGCGCCGTGTTTACAGTCGACGTAAAGTGTCTTCCCGATATATCGCAATTTCCCGTGATGCATTTATGGAGCAAGATCCGTCGTGTTTTACTTGAACAGTGCTGATCCGGGTCGCCGCCGAGTTCGGGAGACAAGGGTATACGGGATTGATCGAGAGCCCTTTGAATTCAAGTGTCGTTCAATGGTAAGGCAAGTTCGCGTGGGACTCATTCGGAATACGTTTCCTCGATCGCTCGGCGCTTCGCCGCGGAAACCGCGGCCGCGCGCAATCGCAACAAGTTGTATACAATCGCGTCCGAAATCCCTGCTAAAGCTAGAGAAAGGGAAACGTTAATCTTCCCAGATAAAAAAGGTAACAAAAGCATAAAGAGTGGATGGTTCGCTGGCGATAAATTCGCAGTTAAAGAACGTTCTCTACCTACCCTTACCTGCGGTGAAATATCGCCAACTGGCTCTTCATGTGTGTATGTGTGTATGTGTGTGTGTGTGTGTGTGTGTGTGTGTGGAGTAAGCGAACGTAAAGCACTCCTTATCACGATGTATCGTAGCCAGATGTTTCGCGCGAGAACGGAACTGGCGAATCGACAGCGTTAACCACCACAGCCGAGGATAATGCGAGCACCGCAAAGAGGGACCACTTGTATGTACTCGTATCACGGAAATCGTATCGCGATAAGAGGAGAAAAAAAAAGAGAAGCGAGCTCGAATGAGTTCGAAGAGACATTAACTTCAACGCGGAAGAAAAACGCGTTGCCGGCTGTGCGCGTGACAAGCTCCGCGCTTCAACCAGTCACATGTTTTCCAGTTTCAAGGAGAGACGATTTATCGGCAATATTATCAGGTATTCGGGACCATAAGTCCGTACGCTGGTTGATGATATATAGCTCGCATGGACGTTCCACTTTACGATATATTGTCGTCGACGGTAGAATTGTAGCGATCGAACGTATCTCAAAATGGGGACGCGAATGAATTCTGTTTCTCACTCCGCGTTTACGACACGTCGTAATATCGTCATCTTTTTAAATCATGTCCATCTAACAATTCGTCCACGATACAATTGGCGTTGTCCTTTTGATTACTTGCAATCGTACGAGAGCTAGTCAATAATTTTTACGCGAGCATTCGGATATTATGCGCGATATGCCGCAATTGTTAACAATCGAGCTGTAATTGTTACGCTAATTGGAACGCACCGCGCGTAACGTTCAATTAATTTGAAGTCCCGAAGTGAATTTGGATCGGTAGAGGAGTGTATATATATATACATTATAAACTGGTCTTTTTGGTGTTATCCATGGTTAGCACGATGGTAGCGGAGACCAATCGGGCAGTGACATCAAATTGGTCTCGTTTACAAAATACGCTGTTATTTTCGACTCCATTCGGTCACATTCTGACGATAATTGATGAATTACATGAGTTTCAAAGGTCACGATATTCGTGCAATTAACATCGGTAGAAATAATCGTCACATTTTTATACTGTACATTTTATCGTACATTGCAATACGATCTGTTCTTACAATTTCAAACACGCGTCGAGTGTCATCGCAGCACTTACATCTAATATAGATTTACAATCGCTGTAATAGATTATTACCCATTTAACGTAATACAAAGTGGCACCGTTACATAAGTAGGGCGTTCCGTATTCCATACAGCACGGAGAATTCTAGCAACGTTGCAGCATCATTACAACGTTCCAGCAAGTATATTGCAGTATCATGTCAATATTGCTGCAATGTTGCTGGAATGTTCTGAGTAGCGATCATGTAATTTTTTCCGTAGAGCGGAAACGTGAAAAGTGCAAAATTTCTCCATTATTTTTAATGATAAAAATTTACACTTTTCACGTTTCTGTCTTAGGGAAAAAGGTACATGCTACCCCCCCC